GAGACACTTAAACGCGGGAGCGATGCCTTAATTTCAAACTTTTACGCACTCGCGTAAGTTTTTATTCTGAGGTCAAAGGAGGTCAAATGCCGGGCTTAGAATTTCCTGGCATACGAGCGGGTTAGAATTATTGTGGCGCCAGCAGGTCACATTTTCCTCGGCCCCGCGGAACAAGGAGCGTTTTTGTTTACTGGCAGGTATATTGTTCGTTGACTAAATTTATTGTTAAGATAATTTTCGGTCGCGTTAATTTATTTAGCAAGTTTATAAATTCGTTCACTCGTCTTCTTGACGTTCTGGTATTTACCGATATTATATTTTAAGGACACACTCGTTCGTTTGTTTCGAAGAATCTTATTCGGAGTGTAATCCGGAAATGGGAGGTTCCCGGGGTCATCTGAAGTAACTTTCTCCTTGACGGAAATGCAATCCGCGGCTTTTTTCGTTTATGAGTTATTAACGAAGAAACACGGACCAATCGCAGAGCGAGTGCGGCCGGCGCTCCACCCGCGCGACCAATGACGCGTCGCGCCGGCAGTAGGCATTAGGGCGGGGCGTCCGCCACGCGCGATTTCTCATTGGTCAATGTTTTTCGCGAATAACTCATAAACGAAGCCGTGGATTTCATTTTCGCTAAGGAAAAAGTTACTTCAAATGACCTCGGCGACCTCCTGTTACCGGACTGCGAGACATTTCCGGGACAAACATCTTTTATGTTTTTAGCGAGTTATTAAATTCACTCGCGATTGTGAAATCTTCAGGGCCAGCAAGCAAAGAAAGGACGTTAATTTTCACTTTCATCGGAGCTGTCGCCCAATTGCATTTTAATAAAAAGAAATTCCACGGTTCGTAGAACGACTGTTTTCATCGCATTAGCCCCGGCTACCGATTCTACACCGTGGACGGCACAGAAAAACAAAGCGTTCGGACGCCCCGCTTTAACCGGCGAGGATCTTCCATTAACTTGCTTTCAGCTCCATCCCGAGTCACTTCGAAACTGTCGTTAAAAGATACCGTTGAATTTATTGATATTAAAGCCGCGCCGCCGTCGATGAATTACGTTGTTTTCCCCCTCATGCTCATTTCCTTCCTCCCCGCCCCACCGCGACCTGTTTCCGGCCCTTTATTCCCGCTCACCCGCCGATAACAGAATCCTCAATCAGCCACGGCGGCCGCCGCGTTTCAATTTACTCGGCTCAAGTTTATCGAGCTGACCGTCGTCCGTATTACGTTTCCACCGGCTCGTCTTTCTTATTTCGTCCGACGACGTTATTAACGTCGCGCTCCTGCCGGGACGTTGCCGCCGCGACTTCTGTCAATGCGGATCTTCGAACGACGCGCGGCGACGACGGTTCCTACGTTCGTTTACCTTGCGCCGGGATTTCCGTAGACGCTCGTGCCTCGACGCGACTCGTCGAAATGAAATTAATCGACGGCAGTTGACGGACAGTTTAAATTAACGGAGAAGCATGCGAAAGTATTTCCGAAGAATTTTCGTGGATTTGGATGTGGACGCTTTTCTTGGAGTCAAGGTCATTTCAAGATCATTTCGGAGGCGATAACGTCTTAGGTTGTCGACATTGACGTTAGCCTGTCGCATACCGAGATTCAAAATGCAGAATGTCATTCGAAGCGTCGTCGACTATCTACGAAGAATCTTCGGGAAAACACTGAACCGATTTCTGTGACTCACCCTGTATAGTGGACATGGTAACCGAAGCATTAATAGTCCGAATTGATTAGGAACGATACTAGAAGCAATTGTATTTGATTGAAATATGTCGGATGCACTGTTTTCTGATGAGATAATCATTTCTGGCCCGATTTCTTGACCACGTCTCTCAGACGTGAATAATCAATCACTTCTGGTTCGATTTTTCGACCACTTCTCTCAGATGTGATAATCATTTCTGGCTCGATTTTTTTTTCACCAAACATGATAATTATTTCTTGTCCGATCTTTTGACCACGTCTCTCAGATGTGATAATCATTTCCGACCCGATTATCTGACCACGTCTCTCAGACGTGATTGTAAGTCGTATTAAGGTGTAATATAATATAATAAGTCATATTAATAATATATTGTATTATAATATAATAATATAATACTATAATATTTATTACATATATATTATATTATATTATATTAATATATATTATACTATAATACTATAATATAATAATATAATAAGTCATATTAACATCTAAGGTGTAAGGTCTGTTAGTTGCCTTCACCAAGGCTTGCTCTAGCTGGCCAAGGACCAAACACCCCCATTCTTCTCGCTCCCTTCATCAATCTTACGTTGCCCCTACGATGCGCGCACTTTTGTGTCCTAGATTAGTACACTCGAAGTGCTATTATATCTCGGACAGATTAAGTCTCGATTCATTGAAAACCGCACAAAGAAGACCAACGAAATCTATCCACTCCGTACGACACCGCAGCCGCTGCTATCCAACTCCGTCAGGTCCCTTAAGGTCCACCCTGACCGCTCCGAGGTCTCCTCGCCTGGCAACCGAGCAAAGACGCGCAGCGTCCTAATCGGTCACCTAGAAATTTGCGGGGGAAAACCGCAAGATCGTCGAGGTATACGATAGCATACGATATCCATAGTCCCAGGCTCGATCAGTGATAAGCAGGGGAGGAGGGGGGGGGGGGGCCGTGTATCTCGCGCGAACAAGCGGCCGATT